TGGAAAGAAAATCTTTTCATGTCGCTCACAATGAAAATTTCAAAGTAAAAGGTTTATATACAAGGAAATGTAAAAGAAGAAAACTCTGTTACAAAGAGGAAAAATTAGTAAAAGTAGTTAGTAACTAACTTCCCTTCTATTTACAGCAAGTAAACAGCAAAAGTAAAATTGTAAAATTCAGTAAATAAGCTTAAATATTGAACACATGTCTATCTTCTTCACACGCATCCTTTTTAAATTGAGCACGTAAGCTGCATATGCTTTCTTCTTTACTCAATTCTACAACCATTTCTTTACAGTTGTAACCAAGTTCTTCACAATCTTTAGCCTAGATTAATAACAAGTAATAAACATATGTGATACTTACAATTAAAGTATAGACAAACAAACAAAAAACAATAAATAATATAAAATATGAAATTTATAATAAAAATGATCATTTTAAAATTTAAAAAAGACAATTACATCAATCATCATTAAATAATATTCACTACAACAAGCCTATAACATGCATTAAATTCATTATCTAACAAAATAATTCTACATATGCATTTTATTCATAAAAACATCCATCGGCCACACAACAAGCATTCTTTTTACCGTCCATCGTCTTCTATTGCCTGAAATGATTGCTTTTGGTGTTCCAAAGGAAAAAGAATTAGAAATTGAAGCATATCCATTGCTAGACGCGCTTACATCAAAGATCAATGCCTTAAACTTGGAACGTGTTCGCAGATTAAAGAGCAAAGTTGTTGCATTGACTCGTAAAGTTGGGAAGGTATAGAATGTTCACATCTCTCTCTTTTCTTCCCTTTTGTACATGTATTTATACTCTTCCACTTTGGCAACCCATTTAGATTAGAGATAAGTAATGAATGATGATTGTAGATATGGCTGACATGTATCTTGCTGATAGGAAGAGATGGATGGAGTCATCGTTTTCTGATGATCAATCTTTCATGGGATTCAGATCAAATGAAGGAGTTCCTGTTTCCTCAACCTCTGAATCCATCAAGCCAGAGAAAAGCTTAAGCAGCTTAGAGAAGCCGCCATAAGAGAATGAGAAGTTCTGAGACAACTGTAGAGAGTGTAGAAGAGCTGGCGATGTTACAGGAAGCATACTTTGTTTCCTTCGATAGCAGCCTGCAATAGCATTATATCGGCATGAAGAGAGTACCTTTCAACGTGTTTAAATTCTCCTTAGAGAGTACCTTTCAACGTGTTTAAATTCTCCTTAGCTTGATGGAATAATTTATTTTTCATCTTCTTCCTTTGTTTCAGCTGAACGGCATATATTGATGACACAGAAGATTTGATCAATGCTAGAGTAGGAAACGGAGTAACACATTGCTTCAATTGGGAAACTGAGCACATTTTCCAAAATGTTATCATGTTTGGTTTTTGACACAGGGAGCATGACAAAAATAATGAACCATATAGTCGGCCGGAAGTAAAATTGGCCTTTATAAGGGAAGGAGATTCAAATCCTATTCTCTATGCAAAGAGATCACGTACCAATCAATGAATTAAATACTCAATAAATTCCTGAAAAAATTAAAAACACAAGTGCCATGGGCAAAACTTTTGACTCATAATCAAATTTATAATCACAAATACGAAACAAATGTTCACCTTGAAGGTGCCCTTGTATTACTACTTTTCACGAGTCAAAAGCAGCATCTAGTAGTATATTATTTCTTTGCCCTTTTCCTTTCTTAGCATTCCAGGTTTTACAGTTTTAGTGAATCAAGGACATAAAAGAACAGAGAACCATGCAGCACGAGCTTCGATGCTAACTATCAAAAACTTGATGAAGGAAACTCTTTAACTTGATCAAAGAACTCAACTATTATTTAGAAGAAGAAAGTCGTTGACTCCGTGCTTTGTCAGCTTTTTCCAAGTAATCTTGGTGTGACTGATGCTTCGTTCCTACAAGGAATCAGGCATTTGTTAGATTAATTTTAAGTGATCAACCTACAAACAAAAAATTTATAAGGAAATGAAACAAGCACCCATGAATCTGCTCATGCAGCTATTGGACTAAACACTAAGGATGCAACATCTTGAAAGACCAATAAATTTGTTTGCCTGGAATAACTTTCCTGCAGTTATCCACTTATAGCGCCAAAAATGTTTCATACTGACTCTGAAATGCATATAAAGCAAAAACCAAACGGTTTAGGTAACAGCGCCCCCCTTCCATTGGGTTAATATGTAATATTTAAAGGCAATCTGCAGTTAGTGTGCAGTAAACTAGCAAGTGGCACTTTATGTTGACAGCAACCAACAGCCCAACAGCATTTTCATAAACCTTAATATATTATGAGTTAAGGGCATGTTATGATCAATTGCAATTCCCACAATACCTGGAACAGTTGATCTGAGAAAAGCCATAGAAGGAAAGTTAAATTTACATCATCAAAAGATTGAAGATAAATGGGTTTAAACATTTTTAATTTGAAAATGAAAATTTAAGTTTAATAGAAGGAAACACAATTTCTGAGAAATAGTTCAGAACAAAAACAAAAGTAAACAGGCCCCCAAATAAATTTGTAATAAGATAAACCCAGAATTTATCAGGAAATGAAAAAAAAATGATCACTGTATCCCTTGAAAGTGACAAATATATTCTCCACCAGAGTCCCAAGACACACCTTAGAGTAACCACATAACAAGAAAGACTTACCATGAAAGGGTTTATTAAAGTGAAAACTATCTCCAAAGAACTAGAGGTTATTTGTAAGTTGAGCCAATAATCAAATAATCCTCTCACGAGAAAGAAAAAACAAGACAATTTCCTCTAATAATCATGGGAAAGTAAAAGTTTTTCCCCCTTCAGAAAAAACTTCACCTCACAATTCTAATAGTGAGCTCACATAAAAAATGTGATTTCTAACGACAGAACAGGAATTGCCGTAGAGCCGAGAAAAGCATTTTCAAGGTCTGCTAAGATGGAATAGAGAAATACAATAAGCCACCTCTTTCAGCTTTAAAATTTTCTTTCATTGTCCTCCTGCTAAATTTATCAACTTGCTGATAATGTCAATTTTCTAGAAAAGGAATATATATTTATTTATTTATTTTTAAACCAGCACCCATTGCCATGTACTGCTATTTTGATATGAGTTTTATTTAATTACCCATATCAAGAAAAACCAACAAATTCTTTTTATTTTAAGATAAAAACAGCAAATTTAAAAACATTCAAAATCAACATTAAAACCAAAAAAATGAGAGTGATTGAAGGAAATCACTTTGCTATCAGCTAATTGAAGGAAACGTAGCCTCCGCTGCTAACAGAAATGAGTTAAAAAAATAGTCACAATTGAGCTTCAGTATAGCTCTCCAACAACCTTAAGTTTAATACAATCATTTTTGTTTTCATTCTTCTTCTTCTTCTTCTTTTCAATTCTTTTTTTTTAAACTCCAGTCGTTGATAAATGAAAACGCCAATAAAGCAACTTCAAAGAAATGACATGTTGCCATTACAGCAATTTGATTGATTCCTTAACAAATTCTTTAGCATCACTGAATGGTTAGAATCATTCCCAAAAACTGCAGATTCGTTCACCTAAATCACGCAAGAAATTTTTCCCACCAAGAAAATTTCCTGTTCTCAACTACTAACCATTCTTTAACTCTATAGATAAACGGGACAAGGCATGTTTTTCACTTAACAAGAAAATCAGTCAAGCAATTGATGCTATATATCTAGCTTTCAGTAGTTCATTAAATACATATAAATCATAAAATCTTTTCATTCACTCAGCAAAATAAACCCAAATCCTTAAACCCCCAGAAAAGTAAACGCAAAGCTGGAAAAAAAAAATAAAAACAACCCAAGGAAGAAGAAAAGAGAAAAACGAACCTCGGTTCATGAGAAACCAAGGTGCACCAAAAACGATGGCGATGATGGCGATGCCAGCCATCACGTGCTTCTTCTCACCGCTGTATATGTAATGCTCCATTCTCGCCCTGAATCCTCCTCCTCCTACGTTGCTGCTGCTGCTGCTACTGCTGGCGGTGGTAGGGGTGGTTTTTGCTTCGTTTCCCATTTTGCCCCTAAACCCACCAATTAATTACCTCAGGCTGCGTGTTTGTTTTCTTTATTTTTCGCTTGCCTTGCTTTCTCTCTAGGTCTGCTGCCCTCTGCTTCTGCAAAATGCTATTGCTCCTTTGAGGTTTTAGGCAATGGGCATTCTCTTGGAGGAGTGTTTGGTTATTAGGTTAGGTTATGTCAGCCAGGTGTGGCCTTATGCTGGGTGGACAAGTTGGACTTATTTTCTTTTTATTTTTTTTTGGGTTAGATTATTAACATTTAAACAGGCAAAAGAAGTTTATTGAATGCAAAAAATAAATAAATAAAAATTCAATAACAAAAAAAGAAACAAAGAGAGAAAAGCTTACTTTATGATTTAGTAAATATTATGATAACAACAGTTTTTAGTATAGATTTAATAGAATTTAAAAAAGGCAGATACAGTATATGGTTCTATTAATAAAAATCAATAAGGTTTATATACCAAAATTATGTAAGAGCAATATATCTTAAATATAAAGAAATTTAAAACTAAATTGGTTAAATGTATTCTATAATATATCTAGTTACTTTCAATGCTTTTTACTGTCCTACATTACAATTTTACTTCTTATTGTCATATGATAAGGCATTAGATGGTTTAATTCTTATAAAAATAAATTATATGGTCTAATTGGGAATATAAATTTTGTTTTTCTGACATAAAATAGCATTTCTTTTCTTTTTATTTATCCACAATTTGGGAAAACTTTTTCCACCATTTCCTCCAATTATTAAAAATCTCCTCTTAATACAAATTTAAATAAATTTTGACATCATTTATCATATATTTATAATTTTAATGTAATAAATATAAAAAGTTTTATTTATAAATTCAAAATTCATTGCCATATAAATATTCATGAGTTTAAATTTCCACAGCAAAATGTCACTCGCCTTGATATACTCTGTGTAGATGCTCATGGCTCTCCTTTCTCTAGCAAGAAGGCTCCAAAGAACCCACTCTCGAATCCTGTTCCCGTTTCTTCTCCACCACCCTGCCGCCATTCCCTCACCTGCTTCTTCTCCCTCAACCCAACAACTCTCCTTTCCTTCTTCGGCATTTCATCAAACACTTTTTATATCATCTCGGACCCTCCTTTTCACTTCTCGTTTCTCCACTCTACAATCCCTCTCAACCCAAACTCTCAACTACCCATTTGAGTTCACTCCACCACCAATCCATGGCCCCGACTCGCAAGAACAAGCTCTACTACGTTTGCTCAAACGGGTTGCCCACTTTAGCTCTGAAGCTGAGGCCGTGGCTTCTCTTGATGAGTCAGGGATCAAGGCAACTCAAGATTTGGTGTATTCAGTAATTTGGACGTTGAGGGAAGAGTGGAGACTTGCGTTTTTAGCTTTTAAATGGGGTGAGAAATGTGGAAGTACTGATGAAAATACTTACGAGTTGATGGTCTGGGTGTTGGGTAATCATAGGAAGTTTAACATGGCTTGGTGTTTGATCCGTGACTTATTTCGTTCTTCCATGGATACAAGACGAGCAATGTTTATTATGATTGATAGGTGAGCTTCTCTTGTGATTCTTTTAATCTTGGCCTTATGTGGCTATGTTTGTTTGCCTGTTAGTTAGCATATAAGTGGTTGTATAGCATAGCCTATATTATGCATACTCCTCTGATTGCTGATTTTTGGATACAATTA